TTCCGGATTGGATTCATATTCCGAGGTTGAACCGGTTTTGTCTTGAAGACCTGGTTACCAATCTGAACCTTAAAATATGCATCAGGAAACCTGTTATTGTCAGCTGGAACAAGGTCTTGTGCCTCAATAACATTAACACGGACATACCACAATCTTGGAGAGTGATAAACTTTTGAATGAATATACATGGAGGCAATGGAAGTGCTATCACCAGGAGCAATAGCATCTGAGTGCCAGGCATCAGGAAAAGCCTCGTCAGCCTGTGTGCCATACCAAACTGCAAGCATCAGTTCTCCTTTCTTTTTCTCTCCTTTTTTGTCTTCTAGCCGATACCATTCTGGAGCCAATGGACTATCGGGTGGAACCCTTGTGGGAACCTCATGGAGATAAAAGCGCACAAACCCAACAAAGTCATCTTTCACTAAATCCTTATCCTTGAGAACAACTTACAGCACAGATGACTGCAGCGTTTCCCTTGCAAAGGCAAACACCTGAGTCCATTCTGGATTTTGTTTCTTCTCATAATGCTTTGTGATTCCTTTGTAATTTCCAACTTTTACTTCAACAAATGGATCAAGGCTGCCTGTCACATCTTTGGAAGGAAAATCTCGGGCTTTTACCACTCGTACAAAAAGGAATCTCATCTGTTCAACGAGGTCATAGGTGCGGGCTGGTCTGTCTCCTCGTATGACTCGACCTCCAACAATTCGTCCTCCTCCAAGGAATGGGCTTGTCTCTTTGAGAGCATAATCAGCTGGTTGTGGTGATGAACCTGAGAACATCTGAACAATTTTCGGTGGCTGTGGTTCAGATTTCATCTCATGTACTCCATAATTCATTTGTTGTTGGGGTGGTATTGGGGGAATATTTTGCTTTTGTTGTGAGTGGTTTGCAGTTGGAAGGTGATAAAATGTGTCCTTTACCAGTTTTCTCTTTGGGAAATGAATTTGGGACTGAATTTTGAAATTTAGCATAAGCTGAGCCTACATTTGTATGCAGAGAGGATTCCATGGCTGGAAGTGGATTTGAGGATTTGATTGAAGGGTCATCGGTAACAAATACTTTCAAACCAAGCTCTCCTTTGCACGGGAGAAAATGCTTCTTTTTTCAAGAGGGTAGTGCAAAACAATTGCATCAGAGTAGGGCAGGAATGATGTTTCAGTGAGGCGAACCTTCCCAAGACAGGTTTTCAAGTCGTTTGTTTTTTCATGGTTGTAAACATAGGCTTCAAGAGGGAGGTTGGATAAGTTTTTTGGATCCGAGATGTTGAAATAGAAACTTTCATTCCAGACTGGATTGAGATCTTTTTCTTTAGTGGCAGTGCGGTATCTCTGGTCATCAAAATGGAGCTCCACAAAGGGATTGGATGAGCCCTGCCCATCTTTGGCTGCAAGATCATGGGCGCTTACGACCTCCACCCCTAACTTGAAACTATTCATGGTTTATTTCAATCAAAGCAGAAACGGAAAATACTATAGCTGCTATCAGGAATCGGCAGGAAACAAAACAATACCTGAAAAAAGGAAGGAAAATTAGTAGTTCGACAAATGATGAAAAGTGCATCATATATGAAATTGACAAGAAGAATCAGGGGCTTTACATGTACGAATTTAAAACAGATGAACTTCATTCCACTCCAGAAAAACATAAGAAAAGCAAAATTGAAAGGATGAAAGTCCTGAAATTTCCATGTTAGAACAGGAAACTGTAAGAAGGAATTGTGCACGATTAAAGCTTAAGTGTATGTTTAATTTTTCCCTTTATAAGCACTGGCTAAAGCCAAGACCAAGCTTTTTAAACATGCGAATTAGCATTAAACCCCAATCAATTTTATATGAATAGCTATTTTTTTTCAATTTAATTTCTTCAAATCTGTGGACAGGTAAGAAAAACGAGTTATATGATTCCACACAGAGATAAAGTCGGAAATAATCCCATGAAGGTTTCTCAGACTAAAGCATGATTCTGTGAGAAAGCTACCATACTTTTAGCTTCACATCAGAATAAAAACCCAGGCTCTGTTCCTTTCATGGGAAACAAATACTGGATTTTTTTTTTTTTTAGGAAACTTATTATAGCAAAAACAAAATATTTCTCTATGTAAAGATTTTCTTTTTTTTAGCCATATCTATGTAAAGCTTCTCCGAAATGGGTTTTTTTTTTTTTTAACAAAGAAAAGAAAGAATCAACCCTTTTTTTCACGTTTCAAATCTAAGAACACCCAACAATCAGATGTAAAGAGCTGTAAAAGTCTGAAATAAACATTAAAAAAGATAAAATCATCCAATCTGAAGAAAAGAATAAGAAAATTAAAAGAGACCAAAACTGACCATGTTTTTAAAGCTGAAAGCTTCAGTTACGAAAGTGAAAGGAAGCTTGAAGCCATATGATCATCATCTAAAAAACTTAGCAGAGGTGATCATATAAAAACGGGAATCACACTTCTGGAGAACTCGTTGAGTGACTGAGTGAGAGGAGAGTCGTCGAAAACGAGTTAAAATGGTTCCTGTTTTAACTAGGAAGAAAAAAACAAGAAAAAAAAACCAAAGAGGAAGAAGAGCCTTTCCGTTCGTTTTGGTTTTTTTGGTTTCCCTCCACTAAATTCACCTAGTTTTAAAATTTCAACACTCCTGAATGTCTCTATTTAACTATACTCGTTCAATCTTATTGACACGCGTCAAGTAAGAGTAAAAATATATGGCTTTTGTTCCTAAATCTTTGTTTTTAGTTGGCTGCTTTAAACTTGGTGGCTCTCATGAAGTCAACTTCATAAATGTATATACACTTCTACGTACCAACTCCATTTTAATCTTATCCTAAAACGTATTAATTATTTTATCCAAAGTATAATGTGATAAAAAAAATTCAGAGATGGTTTACTCTAAATTTTCATATTTTTTATTTTTAAAGTGAAAAAAATAAATAAGTATAAATTTTTAAAAATCGGATTTTTTTATTTTTTATTTTTTTTAATATATTTTAAGAAGTATATGTTTGTTGGGTCCTGCTAACATTATGTATTTAGTTTAAAAATTATTAATAAATGTGATAATTATTTATTTATTGTGTTGTTTTTTAGCATTATTAATATGTTTGTTCTTAATAGAAATTAATTATAATAATAACCAAAATATAATGCTTAGATCCCGAGTAAACCTGGTTGTTTGTATTTTCATGTCATGTTTTATGTCATATTTAATACGTATAGTAATATGAATTATAAAATATATTTAAATCATAAACATAAATATGACACGTTTAATATATATGTTACACGTGATACGATATGATTAACATATATATAATTAATTTGTTTAAATATACGAATATATGTAAGAACATGACTAAAATAATAAATAATTACAAATTATCAATCATTAACAATTTAATAAATTTGACATATTAATAATATAAAAAAGTACTTATATATTAAAAAATAAAAAATTTTAATACTCATTTAATATGTATTTAATATATATTTTTAAAATTTTAATTTATATTACATAATTATATTAATTTTTAGTCTCAAATTCAAAATGATAAATTATAAAAAATTAAAGAATAAAATAATAATATATGACTAATATTAATATTAATATTATATTATTATTATTATTAAAAATAATTTTATAATAATTATTAAATGAATATCATAATTAAATATTTAAAATATTTTTATATGATATTAAATAACTAATTAAATACCATAATTAAAATAATTTTTATATGTATATATTAAACTAAAATAAATATAAAAAATATTAAACATATTAAATATATTAAACATGTACTTATATGATAAAATTAATTAAACGTACTACTCATGTCATATCACGTATTTAAAATTTATATCGTATCAAAATTTATATCGATATGAATAAATATAAAATATATTTTTTAAAACACAAATATAATTTTTTATATTATTTTTATATTATATTATTCTATCATATCTAAAATTATTAGATTTAGTCCCACATGCAATCAAAACTTTAATTATTAACATATATATGCTAACATTGCGTATCCCCACTCATATCCAAACATAAATATATCTTTTTATTTCTTTGAAATAAAAACAATATATTTATTATTAATTTTATTTTAGGTATAGTGGATTAAGATTTGAGAGCGACAACAAAGCAGGTTACAGTCAAGCTGAGTCATCAATCATATCTCACATTTGTCATATCTTAATCAGAGCCTTTTATTTTTTAATTGACTAAACGAATAAGCGTCAATGTTTTTTTTTTCTTACTGTAAAATGTAGAAAACATTTTTAAATAGTTTATGTTATGAAAGCTTGCAATGAATTTTCCTTTTGACGTGGCAACAATTCTCCTTATCTATAGAAGATTTTTTTATTAATTTAATAATTTAATTTAGGCTAATTATATGAAAATTTTAAATTAAAATTAAATTTTTATTTAAATATTTATATTTTATTGTAACCAATTAAAATTTTAAATATTTATTCACTCCATTGAGTTTTTATTTGATAAATTTTGATTAATTGTAAATATTTATTTTTTCTAATTAAATATTTAATTGATTGAAAATATATTTAAGGATTAAATCAGATAAAAATAAATATTTAAAAAATTAATTAATTATAATAAAACGATTAAAATTTAAATAATCTTTATACTTAAACTTTTAATTTACTTCACTAAAATGATTACTTGTTAAAGAACAAATGAATTAATTTATTTTTAAGAGATTATTTGTTAAAAAGAGAGCTAATATTTTACTAGTACTAAAAATAGGATTTAACCCAAAATTCATGAAATGAAGCTAAGAAAGCAAGCGGTTATTTTTGGACTTTTAATTTTTAATAATTAAAAATTAATTCTGACCCTTTCAAATATAAAAAATAAATAAATAAATGAATTAGCGAAGTATAAGGAAATTAAGGTTCATAAATAATAATAGGAAATTAGTATCCTATATTAGAATATATATGAGGAAGGATATTTAATCCTTAAAAGTAACCTAAAAATTTGGGTAAATCGCAAGGTATGTTCGGAGATGCAATTGAAAACACAACGTGGCAGCATGGAAGTTTGATTAGCAAACAGAATTCTGTTTTTCCTATCCCTCGCAAATCTCTCTTCCCTTATGGTACCTGTCCTTCTCCGTTTTCCTCCGAAAAAAGAAACCTACTTCTCATGCCAAATCCATCGTAACCAGACATTCAGTTTCTTTTCTTTTCTCTTTTGTTTTCTTTGTTTCAGATCCTCCCTTTTGCCAAAACGTTTGTCCTAGCTTCATTGGAGAACAAAACGGTATGCTCCCAACCTTTTTTGCTCTCTATTCATTTTTAAATCTTTTAATTGTTACATAACTCCATCACAATTCTTAATTAATTCCTCTCTCTCTCTCTCTCTCTCTCTCTCTCTATATATATATATATATATATATATATATATGTATGTATGTATGTATAATTGCTATCGAAAATTATCCAATTTCCATTAAGCATTCAAATTAATCTGAGGAGATGCTTGGACATTGTGATTTTTAGATATGTGTTGCTATGTATAGGCCAAGTATATATATAGAACAGAAAACATCAGTTGCTCGGACCTTGATTTTCAGATATTGTATATATTAGCTAGCTGTTGTTAATGTATGGATGGTGTTATAATTAGGCAAATTCTTCATCTGGAATGGATGTGAAGGATGAGTGCAAGCTGAAGTTCTTGGAACTAAAAGCAAAGCGGAATCATCGGTTTATTGTGTTCAAGATTGACGAGAACACACAACAGGTGATCGTAGAGAAGCTGGGGAATCCGGAAGAAACTTATCAAGATTTCACCAACTCCTTGCCTGCTGATGAATGCCGATATGCTGTCTTTGATTATAATTTCACCACCAATGAGAATTGTCAGAAAAGCAAGATTGTCTTCTTTGCATGGTATGAAAATTAAAGAAACCAACACCTTGACCCTGTTCCCTTTTCAACGTTTTAATAATAACAATGTTGTTTTGTTGGTATAGGTCACCTGACACATCAAGCGTGAGGAGTAAGATGCTTTATGCAAGCTCCAAGGACAAGTTCAAGAGACAGTTGGACGGGATTCAAGTTGAGTTGCAAGCAACTGATCCCAGTGAGATGAGCTTGGACATCGTCAGAGGCCGAGCTCTCTAATCATTCCAATGACTCTCTGAAACTCATCCCTTCAACTTCCTAGTGAGACTCCCTAGCAACAAAATGGGCTGACCGTTCGTTAACAGAACACAGTCAGTACTAGAATTGGGCTGACCGTTCGTTAATCGGGCCTGTTCTTAGTATCCATGGGTTGGGCTCTTTTAGTCTGTCTCACATTCTTCTTTCGTGATTTTATATTTTATTATTACTTTATTTTGTTTTTAAATAATTTTATCGATCGTATTGGTGTCACAGTGATACTAAACAGTCAATTTCATTATATTATATAACATAGATACTTCGACCACTTGAGCAAGTAAAGAATCCAAATTCTAAGCCATCCCAATTATTATTTTTTTTATTTTTTAATAATGTTTATATAACCTGTAAAAGCACTATTACACAGCGAATCAATATGTGGAAGTCAAGATTCGCTTGATAGCTTAATCAATCAAATCTAAAAGGCCTAAATTAGGTGATAAACTATTAAACCAATAATAATAATAATTGAGGTCCAAATGAAATGTAGGTCCAAAGTCCTTAAATTAAATTAAATTAATAATAAATACTACAAAGAGCGTTAAACGCTATTCGTCCGCGCTTTTGCCAAAATAGCCAACGCGTGACCAGCGCAGCAGCAAATCATTCAAAGTGAAGTCTGAAGGTATCAACTGAAGGGACCCACGACCTCACATGGTCAGTTGGTCACCAGCCAAGACACACTTACTTATCACACCTGGCAAAAAGGGGCGTTTTGCTTGAATTTGTTTCACTCAAAGTTCTGTTCGTTTTTCCAAGGCTTCAATTTGTCAAAGCAATCATAGCCCATGACATGAGGACACGAAGTTCTGGTTTTTATCTGCTCTACGTCGTCGTATTTCACTTGCCGACATTCGTGGCAGTACAGTTTAACCGCTTTAACTGTCGGCATAATAAATTCCACCACCTATTGTCTCCTTTAAAACATAGCAACCGTTGGATCAAAAAAATAAAACATTGTATCCCAAAATTTACGGCAACAAAACCAAATCACCATTAGTTAGTGTAGGATATATAAGTGCATTTGAGCAAACCTTGCTAAATACAGATATTTGAGAATTGATAGTTATCGGTTGTGAAATCATCATTTTTTTTCACCAGCTATACCTGTAGGCTGTAAGCTAGACTATGGCGGAGGAAGTGAAGAAGGGTGAAGTTGAAACCACCACGGCTCCACCGCTGGCTGTGGTGGCCGCAAAAGCTGAATCCGAAGAAAAATCTGTAGTTCCACCGCCGCCTGAGAAGAAACCTGAAGAATCCAAAGCTCTTGCAATAGTCGAGAGTAAGCTTTGCTGCCACTGCATGCGTTATTGCTAATTTGTTTTATATATGTAGCTTCAACATCCAAAACGTGGAATTCATAAGTTCTGTTTTATAGATTTTACCACCTATGTTTAAGATCACAATCCTTTTCATATGATCAAAACTTTATTTATTTTTTTTTTGTCCAGATTTTTATGTTGGTTTTTCTTTCTCTTTTTTACCCGTTAGTCTGACTAAACAGCTATTTGATGGCTTTGTTGTACAGTTTCAACCGTGAACCTGATTGAGGAATTAACCTTTGAATAAAATATTTAAATATAACTTCTTTTAAACCCGTTGGATTTCTTTTCCTTGTTTTCATTCATAAAAATTATACTACCATATGGTTGGTAAACAATAATTTCCTCCCGAAAGCTAGCTAGGACACAACTTTAATTTTTTACATAAGCTAATTGTCATCATTGATCATCACCCATCACTCATCTGGTGGTTCTAACATTGTCTGCATTTTGACAGAGGCTCCAGATCATGCACCAAAGAAAATTTCAGGAGGATCACATGATAGAGGTAAGTGTTTGCTATATATACTCCTCTGATCCCGTTACTTTACTATCGTGAAGAATTTTATGTAGCATATGAAAGGAGGTTGTTTAATATCTATCAGTTGTACAGAATGTATTGATTTAAGTTCCTGGGCTTCTGTTTTTCAGATATTGCTCTTGCGGAGGTTGAAAAGGAAAAAAGATTGTCATTCATCAGGGCATGGGAAGAGAGTGAAAAGACCAAAGCAGAGAATAAGTAAGGTTTTCTCCAGAGACCATCTTTCATTTATACTATATTCTTATCGTTCATAAAACTGAAGTATGTGAATACTGAAATTCGCGAGCAGGGCCCAGAAAAAGTTATCTGCGATCGTAGCATGGGAGAATAGCAAGAAAGCAGCTCTGGAAGCAAAATTGAGAAATATTGAGGTAACTGGCCTCTATTGCTTAGTTTTCCATCCGTACTTGAATTTCTTGATAAATTGAGGACGAATGGCTTACACGCCTCTTTGATCCTCCAAAGAATGTTATTTGTTAGTAAAATTGAAACAGATTTTCACATTACGTATCTAAAACTTTAGGTTGAGAACAGTATTGGGATAAACTTGGGCTTAATTTTAACATGTGCAAGTATATGTAGGAACAATTGGAAAAGAAGAAAGCAGAATATGCAGAAAAAATGAAAAACAAGGTAGCTTTACTTCACAAGGAAGCAGAAGAAAAGAGGGCAATAGTTGAAGCCAAACGTGGAGAAGAGCGACTCAAGGCAGAGGAGACGGCTGCAAAATTCCGTGCAACAGGACAAACTCCAAAAAAGTACCTTGGTTGTTTCTAAATTGTTTTCATTTCAGATTTTTGTTATTTGCAACTCCCAGTTTTAATCTATATTTTTCTAGTCTGTTTCTAAGTTATTTTGTCTAAGAGTGGAACATCACAAATATCTACTATTAAATGTGTTGACATAGGAATACAATTTTTGTTTCTTGGAAACCAGTTTGAGGTTTTTCATCTGGGTTTATGGAAGTGATACAAGCATTTACATTTTACTTGGTTGAGGATTAAAGAATGTTCCCCTTAGTGGGAACGTTTCCTGCAGAAATTCAAGCATTTGTGCAGTACTTCTTTGGTAAAATGTAAATTCAAGAATTTACATTTACTCAAATAGGAAACTTTGCACAATGTAATCCAAAGGTTGTAGAGAAATTTCTAGTAAAAGTAGCATCATTTGGCTTCCTCAATAAATTACACGGTACCTGGCAGATCTTTATAATGAATACTGGAATGTTAAGAATTCTGATGAATATGGAATCATATATTTCCGCGGATACAGTTAATAAGGATAGCATTTGCAAATCCCAGATTAAAAGTTGCAGAGGTTACAAAGGAATTCATATCTACTAGTACCATATGTGACAAAGAAACTGCGTTCAATGGTGGCATCGCCTCCCCTGACCAGCTAACCGCCTAGCATAGGAAAAAAGTTAGGCCAATAGGCAATAATCTTAGCATACAACTGGCTTTAGCACTAAAATCTGGATCAAAATTTAAGCAATAAGCATAATATCATACAAATCATGCCGCCAGGTAACCTCCAGAGGGGGAGATAAGGGATGTCTCAGTCAACATTGCGGCAGATGTGACAAAAGTATCAACATTTTCCAAGAAGCTCATGTCATTGTTAATGGGGAAATCCAACAGCAGTTGCAGTGCAGTATCTGATGAATCTTCTGACTCGTTTGAACATGATGAATCGGATGCATCGGGTGGATCCTCATTGCATGACTTGAAGCTCTTGCACTCTATATCCTCAATTTGATTGTTTGCCGGGGTTGAGGACCCTGCTATGTTAGGGCAAATATCAACCGTAACAACTGAAACTGATCCACATTTTGTTGATGAAGATGTCTGCGAAATTGGGCTTTGACAAGCAGTTTTATCTTCTGTATTCAACTTTCGAAAAGATTCTCCAACTTCAGAATTCCATAAGCGTAAAAAATAATCAGAGTCAGGTTTCCCGAATGGTGGTGAACTGAAGAGCAGTGACTCCTTCGAAAGGCGAGCCTCTGCTTCGAGTCTAGCACTCTCCCATTGAGCCATGTGCCGGGTGGTGGGAGATGTGGGTGCTGCTGTGGTTGGACCGCAAGGGGGAAAGGGCTTGTGAGTTTGTGGATCAAGACCCATGCAAAGTAAGCGTTTCTTCAGGTGAGTGTTCCATAGGTTCTTGATCTCATTATCCGTTCTTCCTGGTAGTTGAGAGGCAATGGCAGCCCACCTGAAATTCACGAAGAAGAAAGGAACCAAACTTTTCATTCTTATGTTCGATATTAACTATTCGATGGAAATGATTCTGACATGAAAGATAATTCCAATTCTAAAAAAATAAAAAATAAAAGCTAGTAAGGATAGAAGAATACCTGTTTCCAAGAATGCCATGAAGCTGAATGACAAGCTTCTCCTCCTCAGGGGTGAAGGGACCGCGTTTTATGTCTGGCCTAAGATAATTTGTCCACCGAAGCCTGCAACTCTTGCCACACCGAAGAAGACCTGTCAATGAACAAACCTAATTGGATAAGAATTGGAATTTCTTATATAATGAAAAATAATAGTAAGATCTAAAGCCCATGAACTTGAAAGATCAGTAAACACCAAAGTATTAGTATGGGAAATCCAAATGTCGGGGAATCTGTCCCTTTAGTCCAAAAACAATTAATGGTTGTCCTCATAGCAATTTGGAAGTGTTTGCTCTACAGGACACAAAGAAACTTCCAAATGCTTAAAGAAAGTACATGAGAACAACTCAAAAAAAAATCAGGAAGGGGTTTTCTTGGACTGAAGCCTGAAGGCAAAGGCGAGGAAACCTGCAAGCTTAGGAAGAGAACGCCAGCTTCCATGGCCATTTTTCTTGATATAATTTACAAGGATCTCATCTTCTTCAGGAGCCCATGGCCCTTTCTTCAAACCCTTCCTGTCACAACATGGCGTCCTCCCCATCTTTTTTCTTTATCAATATTGTTTTTCAAACCAACACCGCCAAAATAAACACTAATTCAACAATGAAAAAATCTACAAAACCCTTCAAATTTTGAGAACAAACTTCACTGAGTTCACTCTAAAACTCTACCAAGCAAAGAGAGAGAGAGAGAGAGTTTGTGTTTTTGAGCGACGATTGCAGTGAAGTAATTCATATAGCAACACAAAAAAGTACAAAAGAGAGACGGAAACAGATGCTTTAAATGCGAGTTTGATCTTATCTAGGCAAACTCATAGTGATTATCTAATAAATAAATATAATAAAGTCGGTGCAAGAAAGAACGATCAGCGAGTTTCAAGCTGGCTTATACTGCTTTTCAATTAATATGCGGTATATAAAACAGTGTAAGTATTTATGTTTGACAAAAACAACATTAAAGAAAGTTGAAAGTTGAAAGTTGAAAATCATCTTTGCGAGAAAAAAAAAAACAAAAACACGTACAAACAGAGAAGAGAATTAATGAGGGGTTTCTTTTTTTGAAGTTTTGAGTTGCACAGAACAAGAAAGAAATGAAAAGAGAAAACAGGGAGAGAGAAAGAGAAAACGAGTGCAGCGAAGATGAACGGGAAAGCATTAATGATGATTCTCTCAGAGAAAGGACATGGAAATATTTATAGGGAAAGAGTGGAGTAATGGCTATGAAAGTGACATGCATGGGATGTACACACCACGAAATAACTCACCCACATTTTGTTTTTGTTTGTTTAGTCCGAAAATGAAAGAAAAAAAAAAGTTAATCCAAGAAACAAACAACTGCTTGTTGGCACAGGGAAGGTGGGTTCGCGGGAGTTTTCAGTTCATAAGCTGCTGTTCATACCAGTAAAAGGACTGGGGAGCGGAGTGGGGGCTGGAGATATATAAGCCATGTGGTAACATGTGATGGAACATGAAGATGGATCGATTGAATGGTTGATTTTTCTTTATTTGTTTGGATCCCTGGAAAAATAAATTGTTTTTCCTTTCCGAAAAGTGATGGGTATGTTTGTTTCCCGTTTAAAATTAAAAAAAAAAAAAAAACAGTATGGAATAAATGTTATGTAGAGAGAAATAATGAAATGGCAATGGTAAGTCTTTTCAGTATAATAAATGTGGTCAATAAAAAGTCAAAGAAGACAAGAGGAGGGTTGTGTCGGAGATTGATGGATTGCGAGGGTTTGGCCATGGAACCTCAGGACTCAGAACCGACAGATTTTCGTGTCTAATTAGACATCCATGTCTATACTCTTTTACCTGGTGATAAAAATTTGAAAAATTAATTTAAAATTATAATATTTAATTTGATTGGAATGATTTTTTTTTCATGTGCAATTAGAGGTCCATGTTTTTACTCTTTTACCTTATGTTAGGTGTGATAAAAAATTAAAAAAATTAAAAGAAATTTAAAATTATAATATTTAATCTAATTTAAATTAATTTTTTTATTTGATTCAAATTAAATTAAAATATTAAAATATATATTAAGTTTAAAAAAGATTTTGAATTAAAAAATTAAAAATTAAATCAAGTTAAAATATATATTTATTACTTTATATATATTTTACATTGTTATAAAATAAAAATAATTATTTTATATTTAAATTTATTTAAATATATTAAAAATTATATTAAAATAATATATAAATAAAAAAAGTTAAAAATTTTAAAAATTAATAAATTAAATTAAACTAATAAATTTAAATTTAAATTAAATCATATAAATATTTAATTTAAATTTAAATTAAATTTTAAATATTTATAACTTTATTTATTATCAAAAATATAAATCGAATCCAACATGACCTGTTATCACCGTTGTATCTTATGCTTGTGCGTTAGTTTGGTATCTCTACGTGTTTTACTACTAATATTCTTTTCATATATCCATTGTCAATATCAATCAAAGTGAAAATGTTTCATCATTTAAATTTGTACTTTTTATTAAATTTATTATTGTACATATAACATTTCCTATCAAATGTCATTTAAAAAAAAAGTTACGTTGCTTATAATAAACGAAAAAAAATTAAAATTTAAAATTAAAAGTTTACAAATATTAAATAGAAAAATTTTAAAAGTTTAATCTTTTGTACTAAACATTAATAATAAATTTTAGAATAATGATAGTATTCAATTCACTTCCACATTACGCCGATTTCGATGAATTTCAATTTAACTTTGACTTGTAAAACTGTTGCAAACAAGGGACGTAAAATTATTACCTTTGTAACATAAGAACGTCTAGAGTAGCCTTTTTCACGTCTGCGTCTGTTGGTGCCAAAAAGATGAAACTGAAATTTAAAAGTTTTATTTCTTTTCTCTGCCCTTCTGCTTTTCACCTTATACGAAAAATATAGATGAAATAAAGTTTTCTTATGGCAATTCCGGGCATTTAAGTTGTCCGCAACTTGTAAGAACAACTTGGAATTATTTATGGTTTGGTAGCCCCAAGGATCCGTTTTTACAGATCGCCGTCCAATAAATGAGACAATCCGAGATAACCATACTCGGGATTACTTGTCGCACGAAAAGATCGCCACATAGTTCGGCAGCCCGTACCCTCCAATCCAGTTCAATTACAAGAGAAGCACGTCAGATGATCTTTGACACCCAAAGAAAACTGCTTCAATTACTTGGCTCCACAAAAAATAGACTTCAACAATATTTTGAATTTATCATCCTTTGCTCTATTTGTTTAAGCTTCTAGAATTGCCATTCCGGGCAACTTGAGAAGCATCTGGAATATTAACATCTTTACAGAGTTGAACCACAAGGAGAGCTGCTAAGAACATGATCTGTGGCGCTTCATGCATTATTAATGCCTGAATTTTACAACCAAATTCCCTGTCAAATTTGGATCAGCAATGGCAGGATCTCAACATGATTCTATATACTTCATTCCGAGTGACAGATTCTGTCACCAAATGGAATTTCAAGTGGCGAGATACGATAAATTGAAAATTCGAATAAGATGGTATCAAAGCCAACAGATGTCATTTCTTTTTAAACGTCAGATGCTTTTATTTATTGAAATGACAGAGGAGCAAATGCAGCAACAGAAACAACACAAAAACATAAATTTCTCCCAACTTAAAACAATTCCATGATGATCAGACTAGCATATAAGTAGGCATCACGTAACCATATGTTAACTAAATCAAAAGCACGGCTCATCTAAGCGTTTCAGGACTATGAAATTTAAGAAATCAGTAGAAGCATTCAAGGGTTACAATGCATACAGCACCAACCAAAAGTCTTCCACCAACACCACCTAATTTTTAGAATGCACACACGTGCAAGGATGGACAACTTGAATGGCCAGCTTCATTAACCCTAACAAACATGTAAACAATTGTACATCATTGATACTAGTTACATTTAAATAGCAAGATATGAAATAATAAAACATTCCAAACATGGAAACAAAGAAATCACTTCATGCATGTACTGTAAATCTGGACATGTGGGTGGTTGCTCACCATTTTTACCATCGTAGGCTAAACAGGAAACATCCACCATAAATCACTGACAGTAAATAGCCTGATCAATATGTGGAGGAATTTGCTTAATTTCAGTCCCAAGTTCTTGTTCAATCCTATACCTGTTAGAAACGTCCATAAAAAACATTCAATGAATCAGGAGAACCTAAATGTATATAGAACTATGGTTTCAAAAAAGTTAAAGATGAGCTAATATACAAGTTAAATCGGTCCTCATAAGTGATCAAATTCACAGCTAATCCAAGATGACCAAACCTTCCTGATCGACCAACCTGCTCATTAAGAGGATATCCACAAGGATTAGCAAAAAAATGATAAATTTTGCAACTTGCAATAGAGAAAATATCTTAACCGACATACCCTATGAAGGTATGTTTCTGAGTTCTTGGGAAAGTCAAAGTTAATAACAACATTCACAGCTTGTATATCTATACCCCTTGTAAAAAGATCTGCAGCAAGTATAAATAGATCATTACGAGATTATTCTTCATATAATGACCATCATAGAATGCTTATGAAGAGTAAAACTGTTTTCTGCACTGTCATCAGGAATTAATTTTAAGGAAACTAGAAACTCAAGTATGTTGGTCGAAACAAACATTAATGCCAGCAGTGTTGGGTTCAAATAGTAGGTTGTCTAGCAAACCAAAAGAAAAAGAAATAGAATATGAAAGAAAATTAATGCCTAATACGAGAAACAGAGCAGAAGAAAGTAGAAAAACTAAATCAGCTGTACAACATTGGTTTACTTGTTAAGTAATCAAACTACACACATTAGCTCATATCCCAAAAACACACAGCATTGCACAACATACCAGTACAGACAAGGTTCCTGCATGCACCATTGCGGAAATCATGAAATACTCTGTTACGATGGTCCTGAAGCATCTTTGCATGTATATAAAAGCAAGAGTAGCCAAGTTCTGTAATCTTCTTGGCCAACAGTTCCACCCGATTCACCGAGTTGCAGAAAATGATTGATTGGTTTATTTGCAGCTGGAGATAAATAAATATTACATCTCATCCAAACAAAGGAAGGAGAGAAAACTGGATAAAAGTTTATAGAAGGTCAAACCTTAGAGAAAAGAGTATTTAGGCAATGGACTTTCTGTCTTTCTTCCACAAAAGCGTAATATTGTGTAATACCCTTCAGAGTAAGCTCATCCATTAGATTAATAATATAAGGTTTTTGTAGGTATCTGTCTTTAAAGTCCTTAACAGTAACAGGAAATGTGGCTGAAAACATCAAAATTTGACGGTTTGCTGGAAGAAAACGTATCAGCTGCTCTACAGAAGGTTGAAACTCTGGAGACAAAAGTTTATCTGCCTGCAAGAAACCCAAACACGGAACATCAGATTTTGCAGATCATGAAGTTAAAACCAAGCATAAACAAGATAAGAAAACTAATCGAATACTTTCTCCATTCCACAAGTGTCTAGCTTCCTTTTTGAAGAAACTTGTAAGAATTAATGCTAATTACTGACTCAACTTCTGAATTCTAGTTCCAAAACTAGCATTTATATAAAGATATAAAATTTAAAAAAAATAAAAAGGTACCATGATGACAGGAGATAACAGTGCTCCTCTCTACAGAAGCGAGTATGCATAAAGAAAACTTGAGACATAACCACAACCAGCTTCAGTAACTTCATATTATATCAGTTAAATTTTCCAGACAATTTTAAATTATGCATATTGGGTATGGGGATACAGCCTTAGGTTACAAATAATTATTTGCAATTACATTTAGATTCTTTAAGCAAAAACCCAATAAATTATGCAGCTAAAACAGTTGCTAGAATCTGGACCTTTGAAAAGAAACCAATAAACTGTAAAAATGAGATGAATAGAATTAATACTTTCCCTGCCAGTTCAATTGATGGCAAATATTTACAAACTATAAACCTGAGGCAACCGCAAGCTATCCTTCATCCCACTCAACCAAATAGGACACAACCATAAATCACCATTCGCCAAGATTAAAAGAAAAAAAAAACAAAATTCTTTCCTCCATATCTATCCAAAACACTTCTAACTTTGTCAAATTCTCACATGTTTAACTTGAAAGGGAAAAAAAACAAACTGAAAGAAAAAATACATAGAGAAACTACCAAATAATTACCTCATCCATGATAAGCATTGAACAATCTTTCAAAATGCAAACACCCTTTTTAGCAAGGTCTATAATTCTGCCTGGGGTTCCAACCAGCAAATGGACTGGTTGATACAATCGCATGATATCATCCTTGAGACTGGTACCTCCCGTTGTGACCATAACTTGAATCTGTAAATGCTTCCCCAGCTCCTTGCACACTTGTGATGTCTGAAGAGCAAGTTCTCGTGTCGGAACAAGTATAACAGCTGTGCCAAAAACACATGTTTGCTAAAAAAAAAAAAAGAAACTAAACAGATAATGAATGTAAAATCAAAATCCAAGAAAGGCATTGATAAATTCTTTATGCCAAAAGTAACACCACAAAATAGAGGAGATAGAAATTGACTCATATCCCAAATTAACCCAAAAAGGGTTCAAATAACGAACTTAATTTCGGCAGGTTTCAGAAGGATAAGAGAAATCTTATGCTTGGACTAACACAAAAAGTTGCATCCATTTGCAAGAAGGAAGACATAATGCACTTGTTTCAGGAACTGGTACAGAAATTTCGTCTAGTCCATCCATGCCAATGCCCATAATTCAAATTTCAGTAAACAATATGCAGCAAATGGCACCCACACTTCTCCAATATCCAATTGATAAGCAGATCAAGCAATTAGAAGAACAATACACAATTGAAATCCTACTTGCAGTATCCATCACCATTTAACTGGGCCCATAATTCATAACACACACACAAATAAAAAAGTAAAATAAAAAAAAAAAGTAGATGGAGATCTAACCTTGAATAACATTGCTATCTTGGTCAATTTTTTCCAAGGCAGGAATGCAAAATGCCGCTGTCTTCCCAGTTCCATTTTTGGCTCTAGCAAGAATATCACTTCCAGTTAAAGCAATGGGAATACTCTCTTCCTGTATAGGAGATGGTCTTTCAAAACCTTTCTCATATATTCCCATAAGAAGTTCACGTTTCAGAAAATAGTCTTCAAATTCATTTCCTTTGGTAGCTGTCACATCCTGGCCGCAATTTAATAGGCATATCAGCACATAAACATGTCATTAAAAATTGAAATATCTCCAAATACAACAGCACCAATATCATAACTTTAATGAGATGTATGTCAGAGAAATAAGATGATACGCTACCAAGGTTAAAGTAATGCAAACCTAAAAATAGCACTTTGATGAAAGTTCAAGCCAGAAGGCCAAAACATCAGAGAGCTAGGCATCACCAGCCCCAAGTTAAAAGCATTGGAAGCTGTCCATTTATAATTGTATATCATAAGATATTAGGAATTACAAAAGAGTAATTCACCTGCATTGCAAAATAACATATGACAGCAATTCTCCCTTCACTGACCCGTCTAAAAAGCTGAGAAGAATTTTTATAGTTTCATGAAGTTATGGCAATTATCTAGGTAAAATATATAAAACCTATGCTGCAATTGCTCTAAACCTAGCTGATAAAAGCAAAAACTTCAAGAAATTTTAAAATTATAGTTCTGCTATACAATATCATTAAGAAGGAAGTATCAAATTCAATAACTGCTCTAAACCTAGCTGATAAAAGCAAAAACTTCAAGAAATTTTAAAATTATAGTTCTGCTATACAATATCATTAAGAAGGAAGTATCAAATTCAATAACTGCACAATTAATATATTATTAACAGAAATACCTCTGTTTTGTAGCGTGTATCTGGTGGTGGTATCTTTAGCCTTGCCTTCCAATCTTGTGAACTGAAAGAGGAGAAAGAAAAGGTAAATAACTGTAAAACCATGCACAATGAACGTGAAAATTTTGTTAAAAGGAAAAAGGCAGGACAAGAAATACAATTTGTGAAAGTTCACATAAAGATGAAGTTCCAATCTATATCATATACAAGAACAATCTCAAACTCAGTGTCATATACAAAGTTAACAGTTTAAAAAAAAAAAAAAGAGTAAGAACAGAAGAAATACATAATTTATCTTCCCTCATCGAGTCCTTCCTAACAAATGGAAAGTTCGGGACTAAATGAAACCCTAGAATTATTGCCTAAGATGATTTGAATACTCAAAACGTGTAAAATAGTTCCACAGAATACAATACAACAAAAGATTTAATCATAAAGACAAATAACAACAAAAACAAAAGAAAAAGTGAAAAGGGACCTTGAGTCGACGGCTTCAGATTGTACGGTCTTCTCGACCTCATCGACAACACTGGTGTCATTGCCGCCGGGTAAATGGTTTCGCCTGAGCCACTGCTGTTGCTGTTGTTGCTGATGTTGATGTTGTTGTTGTTGTTGATGTTGAAACTGATGATGATTCTGCACCAAATTTCTCTGCACGTAGTGCTGTTGCGGAAGCCTCGACTGAAAATTAGGGTTAGCGTTCACTCCGCCGCCCCGACCAACGCCGATCCCCAGTGGATACCTCCCTCTACTATTCATATCACAACCCTAAACTCAAAAAAAAAAAAAGATTCGAAACCCTAGAAAAACCGAAATCTGTACACAACTTAAAAAAATTGAAGACTAGGGTTTGTTGCAAAGGGGTAGCGCCGTAAATAATGGCAAATCCGAGGGTTGTCCTAAACAAAACAAAGAAGCTAGGGTTTGTTAGTTAAAGAAAAAAAGGGTTAGATCGTAAATTTGAGTGAAAACTGAAGGGTGCTGTTGCACAGATCTGTTGAAAGAAAGTCAAAATTAAAGGATTCTTGGAGAAGAAATCGAATAATTTCTTTTAAGTTTGTGGGAGCAAAGAGTTTTTGATTTTTTTTTTTTTAATATTTTGGGTGGCAATGGAGAGCAGTTAGATTTTAGAACGAAAAAGAGTAGAGAAGAGAAAAGAGGTATAGTCGTTTCTGGGCTTTGCGAAAAAACTGGCAAAACCTTTGGTTTTTTTAGCGTCCCGCCGATTGGAGGATTTTTTTTTTCTTTTGGAAAATTTGATGTATGGGCCCGCTTGGTCTTTTCTTTATATGGCCCAAAACAACTAACCGACTTTTCTTTTTTTTGTTTTTTTGTTTTAAATCTTAAATTAAATATGATGAATCATATATTTATATTAAATAAAATATTAAAATTTATATTATATTTCACATAAAAATTATATATTATAATTTATATTAATATAAAATTATAAAATATAATTTTTTTATTTTTTAAATTTATATATAATTATTATTATAATTTTAAATCGTATCACTTTTATATCTTATTTTTATATCATATTCATATCATATTTAAATTCTTAACCCCATAATAAACATGTTATAATTTTAATAATACAAGATCTTTTGTTTTTTATAAAAGAGTTTTGTAAATTGAAAATCCAAATATGAAAAAAATAAAAATTTTAATATAAATAATGTGATTAATTTTTTATTTTGTTATTAGTAGGCAAATTTTTAGAGGAAATAAACACGGTCTAAAAAGATAATTCGTGATTTGATTTCCCCCGAGAAAGTGGGTTGCATAAAATTCAATTAATGAATCAATAATATATGTATACTATTTGTATAAATTTAGGTCTACCAAGATTTATTTTTATAAATACCTTCGAACCGTCTTTTTTTTTTTTTTTAAGAGACAAAAAGTTCAAATTGATGCTAAAGTAACCATGGACAATTTGATAATAGTCCTACTTTGAACAGCAATTAAAAATGAAAAGTAAACATATTTTATATTAAAGCTTGATAGGGATGTGTGATGAGAAGATTTTTTATATATTTTGCATATTTATAAATTAATCTTAAAAATCCAATCATAAAGGAAACTGTAATGTAATAAAAATTCACACATTCTATATTCAAATCGAGCTTAAGAAATTCTTGCATTAAAGCAAATGAAAAGCTGGTGAATTGAATAAATAATTAGTAAAATGGAAAAGAAAGCTTAGCAGAGAAGGTAGTTGGTGAGTCAGGAGACCGGACAATGCTGGTGACGTCAGGCATAAGGCAGGCCGGCATTATCTTTTGGAAATTATTATTGCATTATGTAAAAAACTTAAGGGAGTTTACTGTAATTTTCATCAGTTAAAGGGAAAGGAAGAAAGGACTAGAGGTGAAGAAGGGGAAGCCACAAAACAGAATTATGATTGAATGCTTTTCGCTGGACTAATTGTAGCTGTAGGACCAGAGAAAATCAAATTGTTTCCTCTTTTTCTATTTTCCAGTACATAAATCTGTTTTTCCTTTGTTTGCCAAACTATAGTAAAATATGTAATATTCTACTGCCATAGGCTACAACACTTAGGTCCGTAAAAATTGAAAATTTGTTGTATGACAGATTTTGATGTCTTAATTTCAAAATTTTAATTTAATTGATTCGTATAATTATTATTAATAAATAATATTTAATAAATTAAGATTTAAATATTAAAAATTATATTTTTTTTTTTATCTTCACTCAGTTTTCTTTTGTACCAAACAAAAGTTTGGATTTTTTTTTAACCATTTTCTCTTTTTCATTTGGTTTGAAAAAGACATCTAACAATTGATGATCCAATAGGTGCATAAAAATGGAAAATGGGTTTTCTTTTTTTTTTTCTTATTCTTATTTGGTGTGTTAATATTTCTGCTCAAACCCAGATTGCAAAGAAATGTAGACAAAAGACTGAAAAGAATTCAATGTATATATTATCAAGCATGCAGTTTGCATAAATTACACAAACAAGCCAATCCAAAACAAAATGCGAACAATTGGACAAGAAATTCAACTTTGATGAGATGGTCTGCCACCCAATCAAACTGTATTGCAAAAACTCTAAAAAAAAAGACCATGGCAGGAATTATAAGAAACCATGGTCCGTTAATTTTAAGTTAAGATTTCTCTTCGGAGTGGTCTTGATCAGCCGCAGCATCCTGATCAGCTAGATTTTCATCAAGTTCAGCAGATGCAGAGGAGTTATTTCTCTTGTGTGAAGCAGCCTCGAGAACATGGCTGTAGTTTCCCTTCTCCATGAAAAGCTGAGCGAAATGGTGCTTGCAGTAGAGGACCCCATCGAGAGCAGCATAAGAAGAGTGTGTCAGAGGACATCCTCCATGAGCACACCTGAAGCATGACTTGTGGAAACATTCCCCTTCCATGGTGACCTGTCCCAACAATGTGAACCAGTATAAGTACAGATTACTGAATAATTAAAAAAGATACTATACAATTTACGAACCTTCTCCAATGGGTACACTGTCTTCTGGCAAGCGGCACACTTGTCTTGGGTTCCACAGAACAAGGATGAAAGTTTGCTTGGAGTCTTCGACTGTAACATTTAATAGAAAACTTGAGTCATAATCAATCGGATGAAATTTGTTTGGTAATTATTCTTGTTGTTGGCTTTTCGACTGGATGTTCTGTTCTGTACGAGTCAGGGACAGAAATATTGTGACTGAAATTTTTCTCGGACCTTAACTCAATTCACTTAATCATTTTTAAAAAAATAATATTAGATAAGTTTGAGATTTAAATTTTAATATCTGTAATTCTTTTTTTAATTTCTGATCACGACCTTCTTTGTATAAAAAAAAAAAAAAAACTCTTTTTGTTGCTTCCTGCGCAATTAATCTAATCCAAGTGTAAAACATATAAAGCAAGGAAAACATACCAGCTCATTTTGCCTCTCAGACTTTGCTGCAAAAGTGATCATCAAAGAAAATTAAGTTGTTAGCCATAGCCATACAGCCAAAGAATAAAAATTTTAGAAGAGGACAAATGTATCGTACCTGCATGGAAATTCTTGCTGAAATTTCCAGATTCCTTGAATAGTTGCTCGAAATGAGGCTTGCAGTACAGGACTCCATCCATGGAGGAGTAGGTGCCAATCTGTGAAGGACACAATCCACATGTTCCATTAGTTCACACATAGTTGCCCATAAATGATTTACACCAATTAATCATTTCATGCCAACTAGAAACAAATTAAATTTAGAACAAGGAAGAAAAGTTTTAAAAGAAACATACCACAAGGTTTCCCTTGCAGTGGCTGCATTTGAAGCAGGTTTTATGGTAAGGCACACCTTCAACAGACAACATATCCACCACATGGACAGTCTTATCACAAGCCTTGCATTTGTCCAATGTTCCAGTGAATGACATCTCTTTTGCTTAATTTCTTTGATCTCGGAAACTCTTTGAAGATGTTAGAACGCAATGATACAGTTCCGAGGAACAGGGAAATGTTGGACAAGGAAGCAGTTTGCCCGTTGTCGGATACCTCTGACAGAGATGGAGCACACAAAACTCCTTGTTCAGATTATAACGAACTTGTTCTGGCTTTTTCCTGCAACGGGGTAAATTTGATTGTGTTGGGCTGGTGATTGGTGGACACGTGATTGGAGATCCCAATATTATGTGGGAAATTTGGAACGTTAATGTCCTAAATGTGGATGGAATCCCGTTGAACTGGAGAGAAACAAGGTTTGTGCTTTTGACCTCTTCAAGGGGAAATTTGGATGGAGAAAAATAAGAGCCAAGTTAAACCAACTATTTTTGCTTACTGGACTTCGTGGCAGTGGTGGTGTTCATGTTTTGAGCATTGCAAATATAATAATGACCCAAATTGTAATAAAAATCAAATAATCGAAATTCGAAAGCCAAATGGTTGAACCAGTCGAAATTACTAGGACGTTTCTTTGTCAGGATTTGTGCCATTCAATATCGACCGTAAAAGTATTATAAAACAATTAAAAATGTAAATTTATTTTTTTGTCTACGTTTTTTTATTTATAAAATATATTTGATAATTTAAAATATGATATAATTATATTAAATAAATATATAAAAATAATATAATTTAAAATTTTAATAAAAATTTTATACGTATAATATTCATTTTTATGAAATTTATTATTTATATTTCTTCTCTCGTTGAATTTATTAGCTATCCATTTTTTCTCTGTACTTGATTTCGTCTTTGGTTATGTTTACAAGCTAGTTTTGTAGATTGATATATTATTATGTAGATTGATAGGTAAAATTTTAAAAAATTATTAGCGTTAGACAATAATGTAATAAAAATACATTATATATATTTTTATCAATAATTTTATTAACATAATTATATAAAAAAATTATTGATAAAATGTAATTCTATGCATAACTCGAATTGATTATTAAATTCGTAACTCTATTAAAAAATTTTAATCTCAAACTTCTCAGCTTGTGATTTTAGTTTATTATAAAATAATTTATTTTTATTTAAATATATTTAAAATATTTAAATTATTAATATTAATATAATTAAAAATATTTTTAATAATAAATTTAAACAAATTTTAATGAGCGATTCGAATTAGTCGGATCATAAATGAGATACCAATGGATCCAATTAGGTCCGATACGGCAGTTGGATGTCCCTTATGTGACTGGACGTATATAAGTATTCAAATGACGCACATGAAACAGAATCGTCGCTGCCACGCGGCCCAAACGCGACTGCCTACGATAATGCAGGTGAAATATTTAAATAGTATATATTAATATTTATAAGTTATTTAAATTTAATTTGATTATTATTAAGTCAAATTTAAATTCAAGTAGTTTAATTTATCGATAGAATTAAATTTGAATATTTTTATATTCGATTTAAATAATTTGTGAGTTTAATTAAATTTTTATATTTAAATTTTTTTATTATTTTAATTAATAAAATATTTTAAATTCGAATATGAATATAAATAATTAATTTTTTATTTAATATAAAAATTAAATTTATTTTAATATATTAATCGAACGAATTTAAGTAATTCGATTTCAATTATAAATTAAATTCAAATTAAAAAAATAAAATTTAATCGAATTTGAATCGAATATTAAATTTCGAATTAAGAATCGAATTTAAATTTAAATTTTTCACTAAATCAATTTGTAAGAACATTATAAAGTCAGATTCTAAACTCATTCTACGAAACAAAAAAGCCATTTTAGTAAATTCATATGCGTCGCACAACCAAAAAAAAAAAAAAATTCCACCAATCCCCTAATTTCCTTGTGTAATTTTCTGGTTTCCCCTTGTCTTTCCTACTTCCCAAGCAGAAAGAAAGAAAAAAAAAACAATGGAGTAGAGGGAAAGAAATGAAAGAGAATGTCAATTTTATGATTGCAATGAAATAGAAGTAAAAAAGGCCATGTTGATTTGTTTATCAGTTGTCATTTTCTGCTTTTTGGTCTGTGCTTTCTCCTTCCAAACTCCGCTTCTCTCCAACATTTCTTCGCTTCTTTGATCGGTCAGTTCACTCCCTCTTCAATCGGTTTTATAAGAACACGTGCGTAATTTCTATGAATACGTAGACGTATATGTTCTTGTACGAGTATAAATTATATTTGGATTTGCTGTTCTATGGCTACTAGTGTGGATTCATTAATACTTTGTTTTTTTTGCCAGGTGTTTGATTAAAGGTCAATGAGAGTGCTTGAAATGCCTTGTCAAGAATAAAGATCGGTGTGGCAGAGAGAGATGGATTTTGCTTGTAGTTTTAGGCATCCTACCATCTTTCATGGTTGTGAAGGTACTAGTTATAGGATACTGGATCCATTATGTCCTAGGTTTAGATGTAGAAATTTCAGTTACAACGTTTTTGATCCCAAGATTGGATTGAAAACGCGGTCCCTGAAGAAAATGAGGAAAAGTATGGCTTATAGTAGTTGTTTAAGTTCAAATTTGGTTTTCAGAAGGAAATTTAATAGTCATTTTTGCAGTACGTATTCAAGTACATCATTGTTTTATAGTTTACATGATGTCTTGAAAGTAAGAGGAGTTAGGTCGCGTTGTCAAGGTAATGATTCATTGGCGTATGCTGATGGGAATGGTCGGAATGTGGAATTTGTAGGGAGTAATGATGAGATCTCGAGTGGTACTGTCTCAAATGGTTTGGGAGAAGAAGAGAGAAATGCAAGTGGTGAAGTGGAAACACCTACCGTGGATGAGTTGAAGGAATTGGTGGTGGCACGTCTTAATAGTAGGATGTTTGAGGACAAGGCTCAGAAAATATCAGAAGCTGCAATAGCCTTGAAGGATGAAGAAACTAATGCTTGGAATGATGTTAATAGCACGTTTTATATGATTCAGGATATTGTGAATGAAGAGTGTGTTGCTAAAGAGGCTGTTCAAAAAGCAAAAATGGCACTATCTTTAGCTGAGGCAAGGCTTCAGGTGGCAGCAGACTCATTTGAACCTCTGAAAGAGGGAAATGATTCCTTAGAAAGTTCTGGGGAGAGTGATGTGGAAATTGATGTTAGGGAAGATAATGGAGCACTGTTGGCTGGACAAGATGAGATTAGAGAATGTCAGGAGAAGTTGGCAAATTGTGAAGCAGATTTAAGGCACTTGCAGAGTAAAAAGGAGGAGTTGCAGAAAGAAATGGATAGATTGAATGAGGTTGCAGAGAGAGCACAGATAGATGCCTTGAAAGCGGAGGAAGATGTGGCAAATATCATGCTTTTAGCAGAGCAAGCTGTTGCTTTTGAATTGGAGGCTACACAGCGTGTGAATGATGCAGAGATAGCCCTACGAAGAGCTGAAAAGTCTCTTTCTAGTTTGACTATTGAATCTGCTGAAGCCGCCCAGGGGCAGGTTTTGGGTGAAGAGACTGTTGTCGAGCAGGAGAAGAGCACTCAAGGGGGTTCTGGTGCCACTATTGTTGAAAGAGAAAGGGATGCTCTGATTAATGGTGATGCAGTAGTTGGTGAGCCTACAATAGACATCTTGTCTGACAAAGCAAGAAAAAATTCTGAAGATCTTAAACAATTTGATTATTTGAGTGATCATGAGAATGAACTGCTGGGTTTAGATTCTCTGAAAGAAGCTGAAATTGAAGCAGAAAAGTTAAAAAATGTTCAACCAAAGAAGCCTGAAACTCAAAAGGATCTGACAAGGGAGACTTCATCCCCTAATAGCCCAAAGTCATCATTGAAAAAATCTTCCCGTTTCTTCTCTGCATCATTCTTTTCCTTCACTGTTGATGGGACAGAGTTCACACCAGCATCAGTTGCCCAGGGTCTTTTGGAGTCTGCAAGGAAACAAATTCCTAAGCTAGTTGTAGGAGTACTGCTCTTGGGAGCTGGGTATGTTTGAATGTTACTACCTTGTTTCATTAAGTAATTTAATTATATCACTCTTATGTAAAATTCCAGTATATGTCTTTGCTAAAAATTGTTGATTTCTTGCTTCATGACTCAAATGGCATATTATGTTAACTCTAGTTTTTGATGGAAGCTGTAGAAACGAGATGTGTTTCCTTTGGAATGCTATGTCATTTCTTCTTGATTAAAAGTTTAGATCTGGAAAATTCGCTGCTCGACAATAATGCAAACAATGAATCAAATCTTCTGAAAATTGCTATTCAATTGAGTTTATGTTTATCAGTTTGTTGCTATTTATAAGGTTTCCTGCTTGGAAAAATGATTGCCCACGTTCAATCACAGGGTTGCCTTTTATGCTAATCAGGCAGAGAGGAGTACTGAGCTGCTGCAGCAGCCAGATGTCATCACCACTAGTATAGAAGAGGTTTCCTCAAATGCAAAGCCTCTGATCCGACAAATACAGAAGTTTCCTAAAATACTTCAGAAACTAGTTGCAATGCTTCCTCATCAAGAGGTATTTGATGCCGCACAATTTATTAATTTTCTATTTAATTCTTTTGATCTTAATCATACTGTATATAGCAGCCGGTCAGCAGCTCATTTCATTGTTTGAATTTCCCAGATGAATGAGGAGGAGGCTTCCCTCTTTGATGTGTTGTGGTTGCTGCTTGCCAGTGTAATTTTTGTGCCTATCTTTCAGAAAATTCCTGGAGGTGACTAAAGCCCTGCATCCTTTGGTTCAAATTTGATTGTGTTGCATTGATATGACATTCTTAAAAAAATGAATGATCATTCTTTTCATTCATGAAGAAGACTTTTGGAGCTTATGCTTGAATTCTCTGTTTGCGTTTTATGATGTTTCCTCATAATCCTGATTACACTATTTTTTGTTTTGAGCTATCCTGCTTATCCTTATTTGCTCTATTTTTCCCTTTTTCCTCCCGGAATTTTGTATAAACTGATGTTTGTATTCCATCTGCTCCAATTTTTAGGCAGTCCTGTTCTTGGATATTTAGCTGCTGGCATCTTGATTGGACCTTATGGTCTGTCCATAATCCGTCATGTGCATGGAACCAAAGCAATTGCTGAATTTGGAGTTGTTTTCTTGCTATTCAATATTGGCCTTGAGGTGGAGTTTATAATTAGATCCATAGTTCCAGCTTTGCA